GGCAGGGTCGACCATGGGGTCGTAGGCCAGCGCCTTCACCACCAGGCCAGCCTCGCGCGCCTCCCGCTCGACCATCTCGCACAGGTCGCCCTCGCGCCTGGGCCCAGAGCAGAAGTGCAGGAAGAGCTTCTCGCGAGATGCCCACCCTGCTGGCGCCAGCGGGATCGCCTCCTGGCGGGGCAGCGGCTGAGGCGGCTTGCGCCTCCCGCCACGCGCCTGGCGTGACCCGTGCCAGCTGCTGGGCTCGTCGGCGGGGTTCTTGCCTGTCGAGATCCAGAAGTGGAAGTGCGAGAACCCGCCCGCGAGCTCGATAGCCGCCCCACGGCGGCAGCGCCGGTTGAGCCTGCGGCTGGCACTGCGTCCCTTGATGAAGGCGCCCTCGCACGGGGCGTTGTCTCCAGCATGCAGTACTCGCTTCCCCAGCTCGGAGGGCCGATGCAGACGGGCCTCCATGCCCCAGAGCTTTGCGTGCGCCTCCTCAAGCGTGATGTGCTCATAGCCGCCTGGCCTGCCCACCTTGAACCAGTGGCCCACTGGCGGCAGCGTGACACGGGCCAGGCTGCAGCGCCCCTCGACGTCCACGTCAACCCCGAAGCCGTCACCGAGCATGGTGTAGGGCGCCCGATGGTCAGCCCACCTGGCGATGTGCTGCACCGACTCCAGCGGCAGCGTCGCCCAGGCGCGGCCATGCCCTCCTGGCGCGGCATCAGTGCACTCCACGCGTGGGCACCAGTCCGCATCCAGGCCCTGCTCTGCGAACGGCAGCAGGATAGCCGACATCAGCACCTCATGCCACGCCAACGGGCACCACGCCACGGGCTTGCGCCCCTGCAAGGGTAGGCGCTCCAGCCAGGAATACACTTGAGAAAAGTTCGATCGCAAGCAGGGCCGATAACTCTGGCAGAAACCGTGCTTCCCGACCAAGCGCTCCACGTCCTTGCGGTAGACCAGCTGCTGGCCCAGGAGTGCGAGGGTGGCCGCGAAGAGGTCCACGCGGCGGCGGCGAGTGGTACCCAGCCAGTGCTCCGTGGGGTGGACCTCGGTGCCCTGGAACTCGCCACTGCCGCCGTCCACGGACTTGCCGTGATGCACAGGAACTCCCAAGCGGTCCCAGGCGCGCTCGGCCTTGGTCATCCAGAAGTCGGCCTGGCTCCGCGCGCGGTCGCCTGCAGAGCGCGCGTCCAGCGCCCAGAGGTCGTCAATGATGGACCCCCAGAGCGGCAGCTCGGTGGGGCAGGGCTGGTCAAACGTCACCCTGCGCTCCTGGGGTAGCCCTGCCTTCAGGAAAGCGGTGTCGGAAGCCGCCTGTGCCCAGCCCGCCGACGGCGCGAAGCCCATCGGCGTCGCGTGGTGGAACGGGAACACCTCCCCCTTCCCTCCGCGCGGGTCAGGCACGGGCGGATGGGCCATGTACTTCCGCCAGGCTTTGCCGATCGCCAGCTGGTGAAAGTAGTGGCGCAGGTCCCGCTTCCACAGCTTGACCCGCATGCCTGGCAGCGTCTTCACCACACGGAGCCGCGGCGGGTACGCGAAGGTCGGCCGAGGGAGAACATCAGGGTTGAGCAGCTGGTTCACTGGCAGGTCCGAGATCACCCGCTGCTCCGTGTCTGACTTCTTCACGCCGAACGCCCCAGCCACGAGAGCAACCCCACGATGCTTGCGCACCCTCTTCTTGGAGCCGTACCCCTGCAGGCCCGCCGCCACGTTGCGCGCCACGAGACTGGGGTAGGTGGGCCCCACCAGCGTGTGAGGCCTCTTGAGCCTGGCGGGCCGCCGATCCACGCTCAGGAGCAGCGATCGAGGGCAGCGCACCTGATGAGCAAGCCCAGGAAAGTGCTCGTCCAGCAGCCCGGCCAGGTCGACGACGGCGGCGCGGTCTGGCACTCCGCCACGCTCGCCGAGGGGCTCCGCGACGCACCTGGACGGCTCGTAGCCGTCGGAGTGACGCAGGACCTCTTGAATTGTCGCCGCCTCTGGCCAAGGCAACTCGGCCGCGAGGAAGCGGGAGACGCCCATCAGCATGCGCCTTTGCACACGTCGCTGGGCTTGCGTCGGCAACACGGTGTAGTCGCCGTCTCCGTCGTACAGATCGTTGAGCGCGACGATGCACATGTTCGCCCAAATCAAAATCGCGCCCCGATGCTGCCGCCCGAACTTTGCGAGCTCGGCGTCACCACGCCGCAGCAGAGGGACTGGGAAGATGCCTGGCGAGGTCTTCCCGAACTCCACGACACGCGGCCGAACGAGGTGCCCACGGCGTAGTGGCAGCCCCAGCGGCCCTCCAGCGAAGCTCAGCCAGTCGCCCAGACCGACCAAGACGGAAGCCATCGTGCACTCCTGGCCCCCGCGGCGCAGCCACCTCTGCCGCGCCCTCCGCCACCTCGTCACATGGTGAGCTTCAAGAGGCCGCCTGCGGCGACCCCGCCCCCCGTGCCAGCTAGCAGCTCCGCGGCCTCCGCCTTCTCCCAGGAGCCGCCCTTGGCCTTCGCCCGCTGGATCGCGATGATGCGCTGCGCCAGCACGTCCATCGCGGTCGCCAGGTCCTGCGCGTTGATCAAGTCCATGACGAGCGCCAACGTCTGCACCTCGCGCTGGTCCCGCAGCTCGGTCAAGCCCGAGTGCGCCTGCGCCCACGTCGTCACCGACGCGCGCCTCAGCTGCTTGGTCTCCGTCAAGCGCCCGTGGCTCAACTTGCGGTGCACCATCGCCAGGAAGTACCCCGAGAGCGCGCCTGGGTGCTTCGCCGCGAACGCCAGGAGGTCGCCCTTGGCCTTGAACTTCTCGGTCTCCAACTTGCGCTCCTGAGCGGGGTCGACCCGATGGCTCTTTGCCTTGGGCCCGCGCCACCGCAGGTAGTCGCTGCTGCTGGAGGAGCTGCTGTCGCTCGAGCTTGACGAGCCGCTGGAGTCGGACCTCTTCTTCTTCTTTTTCTTCTTCTTCTTGGTGGCAGACTTCCTGTCCTTCTTCTCTCGCTTGCTGCTGCTGCCGCCTCCATCCTGCAGCTGGCCCTGGATCGCGCGGACCTCCTGGAGCAGTGAAGCCAGGTCGATGCCCGCTGCGGGGGCGGCTGCTGCCCCGTCGGGCGCTCCCACGGCGCCGAAGCCCAGACCCGCGGCAGCCGCGGGCCCCGCCGCGCCCGCGGCGGGTAGCGCAACCGCGCCTGCGGGCGGGGGCGCCGTTGCGGCTCCTGCAACTCCCGCTGCTGCGGGCACGACGGCACCGCCCCCTGCGGGGGGCAGAGGGCCCCCCACTGGCATGAAGGCGGGGATCGACGCCGCCTGCGAGCCCGCGTCGAAGACCGCCCCCGGCGCCAGCACGAACGTCTGCAGGGCCGCGTCCACGCCCTGGGCCTCCAAGCGCAGCGCGGCGAGCTCGGCCACACTCGGGTCCCACTGGACCGCGGCGTGCGGCGGCTCGCACACCCAGTTGACCTGGGCGCCAGGAACGCCAAACGGCGGCATGCGGAGGCCTCCCCCTCCAGGCACGACCACAGCGCGGAAGTGCCCCGGCAACAGGCGCACCAGCACCCAGATGAACGTGACCCCCGTCGCATCCGTCGCCCAGGCTGTAGTCTGCGCCCCGCACCTGCCCGAAGACCAGGACCTCGTCCCACTCGCCGCCGCGGGAGAGCAGCACCCAGCACGGGTCGGCCGCCCCGACGGCTATGCCACCTGCAAGCGCCATCTCCACCAAGGCGTACTCGAGAGCGGTTGAAGCGGCTGCGAGCTCGCGAGCGCGTGCGCGGTCGGCCCGACGGGCCGCCCTCCAGCCACGGAGCCCTCCGACGGCCTGCGCGCCCAGAGCCCAAGCAGCCCCAAGCGCCGCGCGGCCTCGCGTCCAGGCGGCTCGGGCTCCCCGTGCCAGCCAGCCGCGATGCTCCCAAGCGAGAGCAAGCAAGGAGCTCGCGAAGGTCGCTGCCGCCTGCAGCGCGCGCCAGCCCCAGCAAGAGGCAGCGTGGGCGGCCTCGCCCAGCGCGGCGACGCCTCGCGCCCCCGCGACAGTCAGCACCCGAGCCGCCTCTGGCCCGAAGCGCCCAGCAGCCCAGCTCGCCAGATGCCAGGCTACCTGGCTCCAGAGCAGCGCCCCCGAGCCAGCGAGGAGGGCTGATCGCGCGCAGACTGCGACCTGGGAGTGGCTCGCCGTGGCGCCCGTTCCGATCGCCGCCAGGCGATCTTGAGCCAGAATAATTACGAGCGTGAATCCTGAAAGAGAGGCTGGCAGAACATCAAAGGCAGCCCATTCCAGGAGCACGGACGTCGAGACGAGGCTGGATGAGAAACCTGGCATTCCGAAAACTATCCAGCACGCTCTATCTATAGATCGAGTTTCTGAGACGCGAGGAATTTGCGGGACGCCAGCTGCACACCAGCTCCGGTGCTGACCAGGCCCAGGTTCGATGCACACGCCCTCCTGGCCTGGCCAGGACGGCGAGTGCACCGATCTAGTGCTCAAGATTGGCCCGGCCAGCATCGGCGTTGGTGTATAGGTAGCGTCTGCCAAGTCTATCGAACTGGAAGAACCCCCTCGAAATCCCAACCCGTTCGCAGAGCCATCGGACCATGATCTCCGCTGAATCGTTGTCCCATTCTGTTTACTTTGAAACTGGGCGTTTGGAACCCGGATTATGCGATTTACGCTGTCGGGCGCGGCTTCGTTCGGCCCTGAATCTGGGCTACGCACATCTCGTGCAGTCAGCGATTGGCCGCCACGAGCCCCTGTTTGGCCCTGCCAAGATCCACGCGCCCTGGGTGTCGCGGACACCAGATGCCACCACGAGCCGCTACGAGCCCTCGTTAGCACAGTCTCGCCATACTACTCCACCTTGCAATGACTAGCCCCGATCGCTGCCAACGTCAGTTGCCGCCACCAGCCCACACGAACCCCTGCCTGGCCCAACGAACCCTGGGTGCCCCCGTCACGATCTGCTGCCATGGGTCCAAATTTAGAGGAGACGTGCAGCATGCAATCGTGCCCAGCGCCGCTCCCCCCCCGCAAGTGGCCTCCTGCAGCACCGGGCCGCGCAGGTGCTGCAGGCGCCAGCGATACACGTCGTTGAACTGCCCCCAAGCGCCGCCGATGGCGGCGAACTTGCCGCCGCCTCCTTGCCAGCCGGCCAGCGGGGGGGGGGAGAGAAGGGGCGACCCTTCCCCAACATTTTATGGGGGCTTCCGTCGACTGCGCAGAACAGATTGGGCCAAACTCGGGGGCGTGCGATGGGGCGGGGGCAGAGTCCATGTTCGACTGAGGTGCGTCTGGATACTGAGCCCCGGGGGGGATATCCCCCATCATCCCTTCTTTCATGAGCGGCAAGTTCTTCTGGGGAGGAGCTCTGGGATTGGGAAAGAGGCATCGCCTGCGATGGGCGAGGCCGAGCGCGAGTAGTGTGCACAGGATGCGACACGGGGCGAGGCAGTCGGCGTCGCAGCGAGAGCGGCTCGCGCTGCCGCGGCGCGAGACACAGAACGACAGCGCACGACACACACACACACGACGACAACGACGGACAACGGTCGACGAGAACAAAGACGACGACAAAGACGGACGATGGACAACGGACGGACGGCGGAAAACGGACGACGCACAACGGCAGACGACGACGGAACGCGGGCGGCGGACGCCTGCCGACGGCGGGCAACAACGACGGCGTTGACGGCGGACGGCGGAGGCCTGACGGCGACGGAGCCCTCACAGACACTCCGCCCAGGAGGCCTGGAGCGGGCCCGGGGAGGCCAAACAGCCGAGGAGCGGCGGCGGCAGCGGCCACGAGGGCGACGGCGACCGAGAAGGCGGCAGCAGCCACGAAGGCGAAGGCGGCGAATAGACGAGCGCGTACCACTGCTCGCAAAGCTGCGCCTCGCAAACGGCCCGGATCCAGTGCATCGAAGCAGACAAGAACCATGTTGCATCGGAGACAGCGATTCTTGTTGGGACGTTTGCGAGCAGGCAATTTGCGAGTAGTGGTGCGCGCTCGGTGATCAAAGCCGAGATTGCGAAGGCGGAGGCGAAAGCGGCGGCGGCCGCGAAGGAGGCGGCGACGAAGGCGGCGGGCGCCTGCGGCGGCGTGCGCTGGCGGCGCGGCGGGCCTGACCGCCTGGCGGGGCGCCCTCGCGGGAGGCCCGCGGCGAGGGCGGCACGGCACGGGCGGGGGGGCCGAGAAGGCGGCCGCCGGGGCCACGCCGAGAACGACGCCGCGGGGGAGGAGGTCGACGACGGTGGCGACGATGAGGGCGGCGGCGGCGAGGCGGCGAGGGCGACGATGACGACGACGGGGACGAGGAGGACGACAAATACAACGACGACGAGGACGACTAGGACGAGGAGGAGGACAACGCGGCGACGCGGGTGTGGTGAGGAAGAAGAAGAAGAAGACGGAGAGGACAAGGATGAGTAGGGGAGGTTCATGTCGATGAAGGCACGTTTCCTCGATCTAATACAGCTCTGCGTCCCGATCCGATTCGCTGCCAGACTGCTCATCTACATTTTTCTCACCCCAGGGTCTCGCCCTGGGGATTGGGAGGGGGATGGCGAGGCAGAGGCGCGATCGCCCGAGCCCGCCTTTTGCCGCACAGGGCGACCGAGGCGGCCCCAACGAGCGGCGCCCTCACGTAGGCAGCCGGTCACAGCATCTAGAACCCGTGGGCTCGCTCCTCCTTCCTGCCCCTCCTGCCCCTCCCTGTCTTCTCTCACGAGAAAGCAGATGTTAGTCCTCCTCCTCCTCCTCCTCTTCCTCCTCCTCCTCCTCCTCCTCCTCCCTCCTCCTCCCTCCCCCTCCCACCTTCCTCCTCCTTCTCCTCCTCACTTTCCCGCCCGCTGCTGCCGTTGCTGCTCCTCCTCCTCTTGCTCCTCCCGACTGCTTGCCTTCCTCCACTCCTACTTCAGCGTTTTCTTCCATACCCCTCATCCTAGGGAGTGTCAGCCCGTCAGCCGAACCCCCTTTTTGCGGATTTCGATTTTCTGTGGCGACGAAGATTCCCACATATGCTTCCACCGTGTGAAATTATCCCAATGCGACCCGACCTAGGAGTTGGAACCCGTAGGGAAGCAGCATTCGTAGTAACAGTAACGCTAAGCGAAAGCTAAGCTAAAGCTAAGCTAAAGCTAAGCCACAGCTAATATAAATTTAAGCTAAAGCTAAGTTAAAGCTAAGCTGCAGCTAAGCTACAGCTAAGCTCACGCTAAGCTAGAGCTAAGCTAAAGCTGAGCTAAAGCTGAGCTACATCTCAGCTAAAGCTAAGCTAAAACTAAGCTCAAACTCAAGCTAAGCTCAAGCTAAGCTAAAGCTAAGCTCAAGCTAAGCTAAACGCTAAGCTAAACGCTAAGCGAAAAAAACTAAGCGAAACGCTCAGCTAAAGGAACCGCGGGGCGGGGACTGGGGGAACCGCCCGGGGCGCTTTCCACTGCCCGGCCCCTTTAAGCTAGAGAGTAAGAACCCTTCTAGGCAGAGCCTAGGTAGGGAATGACGACTGGCAACAAACGGAATGTCGCGCGCCTTCTGTTTCCCCCACCCGCTTCAGCCGCACAACTTACGCGGCGTTCGGAGGATTGTTCCTCGCCCCTCGCTCCTCAAGTTGGTTTCCAGCGTGGGTGTGTGACTACAGAGGGGGTCATGAAACAAACGTTCAAACACATATTATGCCTATTTGTGCATATGCGGTCTGGCAAATCGGGGCGGCATCAACGCGACGCGAAGGGGCGTTGTGGACTCGAGCCTGTGGCCTGGAAACACGAATCGCACGATTGCCCAGATCATGAGGTTCTGCAGCCGGTCGTTGTGTTCCGGGGGGGGGGCACGGACACGCAAAACACTGCTCAGCTAATCGTTAGCTGGCGCCCGCCTCAAACTCATGCCCCGTCCCGGGCCGCCTCCCAATATCCCTTCGCTGCGGCCCCGCTCTCCTCATGCCCCTCCGATTACCCCCGGTCCTCACCATGCCCCGCATCCACATCGTCACCCCCCCATGTGCCCATTCATGTCGTTCCTTGTCGTCCTCCTCCGCTGTGTAGTTCCCCCATCGTCCACATGCCCGCCCTCCTCCCATCCTCCACGCCCTAGTGCACATCATGCCCCCTCCTTTTGCCCCCCCCCCGCCTCCCTCGTCCTCGTGATGTTGACACCGGTGATGCAGCTCCTCCTGGGCCCGTCTCCTCCCCTCTCGCCCATTGTGGTTCATCCCTGGCCTCTTGGCCACCCCTCCTATCGAACCCCTTCCTTCCCACAGCCCACCATCCCCACCCCCCCGCGCCTTTGCATGCCCAGACCACTGCCCCGTCCTGGACCAGCTGGGAGACCCGCGTAAACTCCCGCCCAGTGACCACTCCACCAAACGGCGCGCAACATATGCACAATTGGAGACACGACCTGTGTATTTCGACCGCGTACGACGCCCCCCCTGGACAAGCCGAAAGAGAAACGTGAAAGTTCCGGCCCAGTCAACACACCACCCGCGACGCGCACACTCCAAATACACAGATGGGAACGAGATCTGTGCACACAGATCACACCACGATCTGCGTAAACGGTGGGCCCCCCACACGAAAATACACAGTTGAAGACACAAGCTGTGTACACAGATCACACCTTGATCTGTGTATTTCGGAAAGGTGAACGCTCGCCACCTCGAGGGTGCCCCGACCTTGCCAACCCAGAACCGAAATCGACATGCCCAGCTAGGGGGGGATGCGAATACACACTTCCCCGGCCCAGGGCGCCCCCGAGGGAGCTGCAAATCCACGCTTCCCTGGCCCAGGGCAGCCGCAGTGAAACGCGGCACCAAGGCGGCCCCCAACGGCCCGAAGACGCCCCGAAAAGGCCTCGAATAACCCCAAAGAGTGCCGCGAAGCAATCCGAAAACACGAGAGGTGCCACATGCCATGGACCTCTGAACAGTCAAAGCTCCACGCGTCGCCATACAGACCGCTGCTCTGGTAAAGGGGCGGACCTTGCCGCAGGCACCTATTATTTACATGTTAGCGATCTGTGCTCGGCGGCCGTGCCGCCCGCGTTTGGAGTGCGCCCCGAACGCTCGCGTTGTCAATCGCCTCTGTTTGGTTCGGGCGGGGGAGCGCCCCTTCCCACCTCCCGCGTTGTTCCTCGTTTCTCTTTGTTCCCCTGCTTCACCGTCCGTCGTATTACCTCGTCTTCCATCCATGTTCGAAAAGTGGAGTCCCTGGTGCCGCGTGCCCGCTTCAGCGGTATATCGCCTTTTCGATATCCGAGCACAGCGGAGCAACGGACGCTCTCGACATTATCCAGGGGAGGGAAGAAAAAAAGGGGAACGGAACAAGGGCGAGGACGACGACGGGAAGCAAACTGTCCTGGGTCCGCATAAAGCCATATGCTTGCGATTCGTGTGCGCGCGTTTTCTTCGAGGCGTTCCACGCCCGACCCATACTGAATTCACGAATTCCTCTGCTCCCCCTGCTATACAACTGCCTCAAACCAGAGGGGCAGTGGATTTCAATCCTCAAGCAGCGACAGCGACATCAGCAGGAGGCAAAAGGGGGAAGGACGAGCGGGGGGAAGGGCCCACAACCAGACCACCCAAACGACCCCAGCCCCTCCACACCCAAAGAAACGTGGAGACCAGGATTACCAGTCTAAACGCTACCGTGTGCCAGGACACGGGGTAAACTACTCCTTCTACCTGCCTCCCCTCCGGCTCCTCCTCCGTCTCCATCCTCCCCCCTCTGATGCCGCTACTCCCCAGACCTCTCCTCGGGTGCGGTCTGGCAAGAATTTCGAGGCGACTCCAGCGATGGCGACGAGGGCCTACCAAGAGGCCCGAACAATGGAAAAACGAGGCAATGGCAGCAGAAATTGTAGGTACCTTTTCCTCCTCCAACCTTTTCCTCCATCTCCCTCATCATCCTCCTCCTACTCCTCCTCCTCCAGCCTCGTCCTCCCTCCCCCATTCCTCCCCCTTCCTCCTCTCCTCCTCCTCCCTCCTCCCTCCTCCCTCCTCCCTCCTCCCTCCTCCCTCCCTCCTCCCTCCTCCCTCCTCCTCCTCCTCCTCCTCCTCCTCCTCTCCTCCTCCTCCTCCTCCCTCCTCCTCCTCCTCCTCCCCTCCTCCTCCTCCTCCTCCTCCTCCTCCTCTTCCTCCTCCTCCTCCTCCTCCTTCCTCCTCCCTCCTCTCCTCCTCTCTCATCCTCCTCCTCCTCCTCCTCCTCTTCCTCTCCTCCTCCTCCCTCCTCTCCTCCTCCTCCTCCTCCTCCTCCTCCTCCTCCTCCTCCTCCTCCTCCTCCTCCTCCTCCTCCTCCCTCTCCCTCCCTCATCTCCCCCCCCATTCCCGCCTCTCCTGGCCCTCCTAGAGTCCACCCGCATAGGACGGATGCGCGGTGAGGATGCAAGTGCCTTGGGCGCCCATGCCGAGGCTCTTCGAGCGGGGCTGGCCATCGGGAATGGCTGAGAATGGGCTGGAGATGACCGAAGAGCCGTGTTGTCCCCATCGCACTTAAGGACCACATCACAAAAGTTCGCCGGCTCAACGGGCCAGGGGCGTGCTAAGATCTCCGTCTAGCCCTCGGGGCTCCCCAGAAGCCCTCGGGGCTTTCTGGGGAGCCCCGAGGGCTTTCTTGAGCGCCGCCCTCGGGGCTCCCCAGAAAGCCCCAAGAAGAGCTCAGAGACCCCCAAGAGGTCCCCCAGATGGTCCAAGATACGTCCAGGACGCCATAACATCGGTGCAAGACGCCCACGATGGCCTCCAGACGGCCCAAGAGCCCTCCAAGAGCTCTCATCAGAGAGCCTCATAAGGCACAACTCATTGATTTTCCTAGGGTTATCGGTTTTCTCGCCTTTGCGGCTTCCCTACGCTTCAAGACGGCCTAGGAGGCCTCCAAGATCACCTCAAGACAGCCCTAGAGGCCCCCCAGCGGGCTCCCTCCGAGACAGCCTTCGAGGGCCCCAAAAACGCCCCAAGAGTGGCTCCAGAGGGGGAACACGAAACGATATTTCAAGCCTTCGACCTTGAGAGGCTCCCAGGAAGCCTCAAGAGGCCCCCAAGAGGCCCTGACAGGCCCCAAAGAGGCCCTCAGCGGCACCCAGGCAGCCCCCAAGAGGCCCCCAAAGGGCCTAGGAGGCCCCGAAAAGGCCCCCAAGAGGCCTCAAAAATGTACCCCAGGAGGCCACAGCAAGTTCTATATCCAACGCCCCAGCTCCACATTACAGTTGTCTGAGGACGTCTCATGCGAAAACTTCGCTTCTGAGAACCAACGTCGTACAACAACTTCTCCAACATTCCCGTTGTGCGAGGATGTCTCATGCGAATCGCACCGCACCTCCCCACACCATGCTCAATCTCCGATGCCCGATATACAACACATCATTATCCTGAGGATGTCTAGGGCGAAAACCTGGCTTTTGAGAACCAGCATCGTAAAACTCATCCTCCAGCATCTCCATTGTGTGAGGATGTCTTAGGCGAAGCGCTCCCCCTCCCCCCTCTCCATACCATGTTGGATATCCTACGCCCCATCTCCAACATTTCATCTTCTGAGGATGTCTCAAGCAAAAGCTTCATTCTTGAAAATCAACGTCATCAAACACATCATCCAACATCCCGATGTGGTGAGGACGTCTCCGGCGATACGCCCCGCCCCCCCACACCATGTGGATATCCGATATGCTCCTGTTGATGTCTAGGGCAGAAGACTGGCTGCCCCGATCACCTCACGAGAAGGAGCGCCCTGCTCCCCAGACCCTGGCCCTCGCTAACCCTTCTTCCTCACGTGTTCTCCTCAATCACCAATCCTTTCCCGTTCCCCAGCCTCCCCGCCACCTCCTCTGCCACCTCCTCCCCCTCTACGCTGCACCTCACTCTCAGACCGGAGTGCTAGGAAACTCTCCTCTTCCTCCCAGACCCCCGAGCCGTCTGCCAAGAAACCCCAGCGGCGCCGCTTTTGCAACGATCCCTCAGGCAAACGGTAGAGATGAGGCTGTACGGGCGGGTAGAATGAGCGAAGCGATTGAATAGTTTCGAGAACCCCGACAAACATCGTACAGTCTGCTCGACACGCTGGCGAAGTGCCGAACGAGCATCGTCTCCCAAGACCCGACACTTAAAAACCCTGCACATTCGATACTTCCTTGGTGCTCGAAATTGTTTCTGGTGGTCAAGGCTAACGTAGACTGGAACATCATAACCGAAGAAACAAGGACGCAAGAGTACCCTTGCAAAGTCGATCATCCGTCCTATCAGGGTTGACTGTATCCCCTCCGTCCTCGCCTCCTCCTCGGGCGCGAACACGCAGCGCGCCGAGCCCCGCCGCCTTGCCGCCCGGCGGCGTCTTCTCCGGCGTCTCCACCGCGAGGTGGGGCGATGCGTCCGACCTGCGAGGGGAGCGGAGGAGAGGGGGGGTGATTAGCGAGAAACTAACCACTCTCCTTTCGAAAGGGTACCTAAATAAGGAGTGCCAGAAACATTTGGGATAGGCTGCAGATGTACCGAATCAGGCCCCGCCCAGAATTATCATCCCTAATGCAAGGATGGCGACCTAGCTGAGGCCACGTCCTCACTATGGTTTTCAGGATAGGGGTTCTTTTGCTCTCGCTGGGGGGGGGGACGCCTGGGTGGGGAGGGTCAGATTCGAGACGTCTGGAGTCACAATCGGTTCGCCACGCGACCCTGGAGAAATCTCGACCCCTTCCCGTGCTCTAACGGTCCCTACAGGGCGCGGTGGAGACCTGCAGAGGCCGAAAATTGCGAGACACCTGGCGTCACAAGTCTGTCCAAACGCAACCGACTATGTGTTGGAGTCCCGAAACGATGCGGTGACAGACCGTGCAATGACCTCGAAATCCTCCAAGACCTCACCGCAGTCGCCCGAGACGTCCTCTGAGAACGACCCGAGTCCCCAAACCGTGCGGTGACCCCGAATCCCCACCGACTCATCACCCTGTCTGGGGGCCCCGAGACTATGTGATGCTTGCAAATCCGCGGCCCTGGAACTCCCGACCGGCCCCCCCACCGCTCCTTGCCCTCTGGCGCGCTCCGTGCGCCAGGGAACGGGGGCCCAACTCCGGCCGAAGACATCCGTGCGGACCTCCGAAAATCAATACTGATAGGACGCACAGAGACATACTGATACTATATGTTCTCCTTGGAGGTGCGCGTCCGACCCGAATATGTAGTATACCCAGATTGTAGTACATCGATTCCCGAGCGGTGTGGCCAGAAAGTGCCCATCACGACGCATATACTATAAGATTTCTCGTTGCGCGCGTCGCCACTGGGGGGGCGACGCACACATAGTATAAGTATGCTGGGGTGACGCCGACTTATGCTGAGTCGTCTTCGGCAGGCCCCCGTCCGTCGTTGCGATGCTTTTTCAGCGGGAGCCCCCAACAGTCTCGACTCTCTCGTGGGGACCAGCTTTTTTTTCCGAGCGAGAAGGGCCAGCGTGCCATACTCGGCCAGAGAAATCTGAACGACCAACACGCCCTGGCGCCCGGGGGGACCCACCCCAAGAGCACCAACACGCGTGTACAATATAGCAATCATGAGAGAGAAACGGAAGACACAAAGCCGGTCTGGAGGCCGTATGAGTCGGACGAGGAGGCGGAAACGGAGGCGGAGGCGGAGGCCGAAGGGGAGGAGGAGGAGGAGGAGGAATGAATTCCGATTGAATTTCTGTCGGTCTGGAGGCCGGATGGGGCCTGAAGCCGCACATGCCGTGGCAAACAAAGCAGAACCACGGTCCACGGGTGCCTGGATGGGCCGAAAGCCACGATATGTTTGTAGTGGAGGCCATGTCCACAAGAAACCTTCCACACGAAGCTCAACCCTGAGACCCCAGGACGTGCATGGATGTTTGGTGTGGGAACGTCGCGCTCTCCAGAGCAAACCATCGAAACTCAAGAAACCCAGGTCACCCTGGAGGCAAGAAGGGTGTTTCTTGGCATGGGTCTCAACTGTATAAACGTACGAATGTGTGTATGTGTGGGTGTGTAGTTCCGGATGGCTTCTGGCACCTCGACTGCACCGTAACCCCTTCCTTCCACCGTCACTGCCTTCATCCACGTCTGGATGGCTTACGGCGGGCGCTTGCTCCAGCGTGAGCGGTCTCTGAGGGCAGGGCTCGGGCGCTTCTAGGCGCGCCCGATTGCTGCTATTCAGATTTCTCCGCCCTGTCGCTGCGCGCAGGGCCGCGACGCCAAACGTAAGTGTGTGAATGTGTGTGTGTGTGTGCGTGCGTGCGTGCGTACGTGCGTGCGTGCGTGCGTGTGTTTGTGTGTGTGCGTGGGTGTATACGTGGTGGTGCGTGTGTGTGTGTGCGCGTGTGTGCGCGTGGTGTGTGTATGTGTGCGTGGGTGTATGCAAGGGTGTGTGCGTGGGTTTGTGTGTGGGTGTGTGTGGGTGTGTGGTGTGCGTGTGTGTGTGTGTGTGTGGGTGTCTTTGCTTATTTGTGTGTGTGTGGGTGTGTGTGTGCGTGTGTGTGTGTGTATGTGTGTGCGTGTGCGTGGGTGTGTGCGTGGAGTGTGTGTGTGTGTGCGCGCGTGGTGTGTGTGTGTGTGTGTGTGTGTGTGCGTGCGTGCGTGTGTGTGTGTGTGCATGTGTGTGCGTGTGCGTGGGTGTGTGCGTGGAGAGTGTGTGTGTGTGTGTGTGCGCGCGTGGTGTGTGTGTGTGTGCGTGTGTGTGTGTGTGTCTGTGCGTGGGTGCGTGCGTGGGTGTGTGCGTGGATTTGTCTGCGGGTGTGTGTGTGTGTGTGTGCGCGTGTGATGTGCGCATGTGTGTGTGGTTGTGGGTGTGTGTGCGTGTGGGGTGTGTGTGTGGTGTGTGTGTGGGTGTTGTTTGTGTGTGGTGGGGGGGGGGTGCTTGTGTGTGTGTGTGTGTTTGTGTGTGTGCGTGTGTGTGTGTTGGTGTGTGTGTGTGGGTGCGTGCGTGCGTGCGTGCGTGTGTGTGTGTGGTGTGTGTGTGTGTGGTGTGTGCGCGTGGTGCGTGGGTGTGTGCGTGGGGTGTGCGGGTGTGTGTGTGGTGTGCGTGTGTGTGTGTGTGTGTGTCTGTGTGGTGTGGGTGTGTGTGTGCGTGCGTGCGTGTGTGTGTGCGTGTGTGCGTGCGTGTGTGTGTGTGTGTGTGTTTGTGCGTGGGCATGTGCGTGGTGTGTGTGTGTGTGCGCGCGTGATGTGTGTGTGTGTGTGTGCCTGGGTGTGTGCGTGGGTATGTGCGTGGGTGTGTGTGTGGGTGTGTGTGTGTGGTGTGCGTGAGTATGTGTGTGAGTGTGTGTGCGTGTGTGTTTGTGTGGGTGTGTGTGTGTGGGTGTGTTTGTGTGTGTATGTCTCTGCCTGTTTCCGTGCCTGTGCCTCTGTGTGTGTGCCTGTGCCTGTGTCTGTGCCTGTGTCTGTGTCTTTGTGTGTGCGCGTACCCCCTGCGCCCCCTGCAGCCTACGCCTGGGCGTGCGCATGGCACGTTCGATCACCTCGGGTGGACCCCTGCCCCTGGCTTCTGAGTTCGGATGTTGCTAGAAGGGCCCCTGGCCCAAGGTGCCCCTAGGATTCCCAAGAAGGCCCCCGTGGCCTCCAGAGAACCCCCCACGAGGACCAGAGGGCCCCCTGGGGCTCCAGCATCGAGCGAAAAGTTGGGGGCACCTTGGGCCAGCGGCACCTTTAGCACTCCCGATGAGCGGGCTGGCCGTGCGCGCGTTGCTCCGCCTCTGGACCTTCTACGCCTCGACGCTGCGCGCGAGGCCGAGACTTCCGAAAGTGCGTGCGCGTGCAGTTCGCTTGCTGCAAGTCTGCTTGCAGTCGCCTGCTGGCCTCCATCCACATCGTTGGGTGGCAAATATTGCCTTTGAATGCGTCCCGCTCAAATACTCGCGTCAGTGCCACCACAACAACGGAGTAGAGAAACTTGTGTGTGTGCCGCCTTAATCTAATCTAGATCTAACAGAACCACCCTGCCTTACCCTGCACGTCACAACTGGTTTTAGAGGCTTCCTCTGGTGAACGTGAGAAAATTTTCTTATTCAGCGTTTCGACATTGGGCGGAAAAGGGGGTGGGAGGGAGGGGTCTGGTTCCGGACCTCTGCTTAATGCGACTGTTTGCAACAGTGCGCCCTATGGGTGAGACTCCACCTGCTTGAAAAAGGCGCCAAAAACATCCCAGATCTACTCCATGGGCCTTGGGGGGGGTCCAAGGGCTCGCGCCGATTGGCAAAACAATGAGTCGCGATTTTCCAGCTTGCATCTGCCGTCTCGTTTGCTTCTGGGTTCCGCATCGTCCACGTCCGCCCATCTGCAACGCCAGCTGGCGATTGAGCTCAGCGCGCCCCGCTTCAACGCTCGCTGTAAAGGCCATTGTCTGGCCGCCTGGAGAAACGCGTGCTGCCCCCTGCGCGCGCCCGCTGCCGGCCCCCAGGATCTCCCGCCGAGCTGTCGCGCATGCGGCCGGCGTGTAGAGAAGTTTGCGTGTGTGTGTGTGTTTGTGTGTGTGCAGTGGCTCACGTTCTTGAGCTCCAACCGCCCTGCCCTGGACAGAGACCCCAGCCGATACAGTCAGCAGCAACTCACGCGGTTTCTCGGCATCCACGGGGTCCGAGACTTGACCTCTCAGCTACTGACTCGTGACCGGCCCCTGGCCGAAGCCCTCTCTAGCGGAACAGCAGAGGCTCCACCGAAGGCTTCCAGAGCACCCAGCCGGAGAACCAAAAGGCGACAATGCCCCTCACAAAGACGACCGCTGCCCCACTCCAGGCAGCGGAAGCGAGGGCAGTCCCAACTTGGAGGCAGACAAACCTACGGCAGGCTTAGCGGCCGTCAGGTGACTAAACGCCCAACATGAGGCGGTCACACCACCGGCTGAGCCGGCCCCTAAGGACATGCCGCCCACACCTCCGCCTCACGGAGACGACACAGCAGTTGCCCCCCTGGCCCCCCAGCGCCCAGATGTAAAGGAAGACAGCACCGAGGTCGCCGCTTGCGAGCGACGATCGCCAGCCGTGTCGGAGGTTGCCTCATCACCAGGACACCGCGAGGGCAGTCCAGAGAACGCAGACGTCCAAGATGCTGAGCACCGGCCGGACCCCGGAGGAAGTCCTAGCGCAGCAGACCTCACCAAGGCCGCCCACGCGTCCGCCCAACTCCCGCAAGAAGAGCGGCCCCAAAGCGGCAAGGGAGCGGCACGCGCCGACGCGGGCGGACCTCCCACCAGCGACCGCCCCAGCGGCAGTCCCCCCAACGAACCTTTAGCACTGCGACGTCTGACTCGAAGGATGGGCGGGCACCTGGGAAGGATACTGGGAGGAGGGAGGAGGAGGAGGAGGAGGAGGAGGAGGAGACACGAGGAGGAGGAGGAGGACGATGAGGAGGAGGAGGAGAGGAGGAGGGAGGAGGAG